CTTTATTTCTGTAGCACCTTTCAACAATGCCTTGCATTGACAAAAGTGCTTCACAAGATAAAATGAAAAAAAAAAAACAGGTAACAAAAAATCAGTGAAAGTTAAAAATTAATTAATTAATTATTAATTAGTTTTAACTAAATGTGTCTTAATTTTGGCTCTGAACAGAACCAGGTCAGAGATGGCATGCAACTCATCCACACTGTTGGGCCAGCAAGAGAAAAAGACCAGTCCCCCATTTCCTGCACTCAGAGCAGAGCAGATGTTGACCGGCAGACCCCAAAGCTCTGCTGTGCTGTTGGATTTTCAAAGGTTGTGAAATATAGGGCAGTGCAAGGCCAATCAAAGCTTTTAAAACAAATAACAACAGCTTGAATCCTAAACTGAACTTTGAGCTGGTGCAAAGCGGAGAGGACAGGGTTGATACAGTATGTTCAGGGGCAGAGCGGGCTCTAGGCATAGGCGAATAAGGTGGTTGCCTAGAGCGCCATCTGCTGGAGGGGATGCCAAACTGCAGAAGAAGAAAAAGTAATTATTTGTAACCCCCGTTGTAACTTCACTCGGTGCCCCTTTCAATTAGCTTTGTCTTAAAAACTATAATGAAGTATTACAGGAAAAATAAGCTACTCTACCCATAAAACATTCTCTCCACCCCAATGCTCCAACACTCTGGCGGGGGAGGAGCTAGTTGTGCCTCTCAGGTAACGGTTTGTGTTGATAAACTCATCAAGTCTGTATTTTGTTCTGACCATGTTAATGATGACGAGGTCTTCTAAGCCTTGTGGTGCTGCTTATAGAAAATGCAGAAAAGAGGTAAGTAAGTAAAATTTTATTTATAAAGCGCCTTTCACAGAAATATATTCACAATGTGCTGTACAATCATTAACAATGTAAAAATGGTGGAAAGATAAAATGAAACCGAAGAAAACATAATTAAAAGATAACGTAATGAAACATCAAATCAGGATTAAATTCGAAAATTGTTAATCAGACACACAGTGAAAGCAGAGCAAAATATACAAAGATACACAAAACAGAGAATGGTGGAGAGAAAAATCTGCCGTACGTTCAATAATAGAAAAACAGATAGTTGGCGAGCATTTACTTTGGAGGTAGGCTGGCATTAATGGTGAACGGTTAGCTTAACGCTTGAGTAAAAAAGTGGGTTTTTAGGAGTGTCTTGAAAGAGACAATTGGCCTCATGCAAGAACATGTTCGTATTCTTATCCTAAATTTCTCTTACTTTTGTTTGTATGAAGGGTTCGTACGAACATGTCACGTCAGATTCAACAAACTCTTCTATCTTCAGGAAAAGTGCGTAAATGAGCTGCTAAAAGTGATGAATGCGTATCAGGTGCTCGTGCACGAGG